TAATTATTAGTCATCTAGTCCAACTCACCTGCAATGAAGAATGACACCTACAGCTAAATCAGACTGCTCAGAGGCCCATCCAGCCTGACCTTGAATGGCTTCAGGAATGGGGCATTTACCACTTCTCTGAGCAATTTGTTCCAGTACCTCACTCTTTTTTTTTCCCTAAACAAACAAAAACAAACCAAAGAAACAACTTATTTCTTATATCCAGTATAAATCTCCCCTTTTAAAGTTTGCAGTCATTTCCCTTTGTCCTGTCACAATAGACCCTACTGAAGAGTGTGTTGCCTTCTCTCTTACAGCCTCCCTTTAGATACTGAAAGGCCACTATCAGGTCTCCCTGAAGCTTTCTCTTTTCCAGGCATAACAGCCCCAGATCTCTCAGTCTGTTCTCTTAAATGAGCTGTTCCATTCCTTGGACCATTTTTGTGGCCCTCCTCTGGACATGCTCCCAACAGGTCTATGTCTTCCTGCACTAAGGACTCCACATCTGGATGCAGTACTCCAGGTGAAGCCTCACCAGAGCAAAGGGGCAGGATCACCTTCTTTGACCTGCTGGTGATGCTTCTTTTCATGCAGCCCAGGATACGGTTGGCTTTTTAGGCTATGAGGGAACACTGCTGGCTCACGTCACTGCCATTTAGCAGTACCACCAAGTCCTTTTCAGCAGGCCTGTGTTCTACCCTTTTGTCATCCAACTTGTTTTGACAGTGGGAGTTGCCATTAACCAGGTACAAGACCTCATGCTTGTCTTTGTTGAACCTCATGAGGTTCTCCTGAGTCCACTGCTGGAGCCTATAAAGGTCCGTCTGAAAGGCATTCCATCCTTAACGTGTGTCATCTGCATCACACCGCTTAGTGTCATCTACAGACTTGCTGAGAATGCACTTAATCCCACTGATGGTGACAAAGTATTAAAGAGCACTAGTCCCAGTACTGACCACTAAGGAACACCACTAGTCACTGATTTACATCCAGACATTGAGCCATTGATCCCTGCTCTCTGGATATGATCTTTCAATTAGTTACTCATCTACTGAATAGTCCACCCACCAAATCCATATCTTTCCAATTTGGAGAGAAGGATGTTTTAGGGAACAGTGTCAAAGACCTTACTGAAGACTAGATAGATGACTTCAATGGCTCTTTCCTTATCCACTGATGCAGTTATACCATCATAGTAAAATAATAAATTATTAAAAGATTGTTAAAAAAAATACACATAAATAGATAAATAACTGTCCAAAGTCTATTATTACTGTTATTAATTACTTTGTAAGTGTCACAGGAAGCAATGGACAAAGATGTGTCTGAAGAAACTTACCACTGAATGTCAACAAATCCCTTACAAGGAATTATTCTCACAAATATTTTTTTATAATCTTGTAACACCTACTCCTGGTTAAATGGCTATGAAATTTTGTCATTGCTACAGAGTAATTCTGCATAAATACAAAATAAAACTTCAAATAAATTCTGCATAAGTATAAAATAAGAAGTGAATAATATCCAAACTAAGTTCAGGTACATTTTATTGGTTTACTTTTTGTTTGTGAGTAGTGAGAAACTCAATTGGAAATGCCTGAAATAGGCTGCAAAGTTTACTTGATAGTCAAAAAAGATTGGGAGCTAGAATCTAAAACTAATGGATTTCAGGAAGCCAGTATCCTGCTCTTCAGCAGCACTGCACTCTGTTGATGTCTTCCAGATATTACACCATAACTTTGAAATAAACATAGATGTCTTTCTCAAGTACCTTCATCTTTCCAGAGGTGACACGTAGTTGAAATTCTTTCATTCCTGAATATTAAGTTACAAAGGTATTTTCTTTCTGCTTTGCACTCGTTTCCTACTGTTGTCACTCCTTCACCATTATTACACAAATGGGAATGTTTTATCACACTCTTTACACAACACCACAACCCTGTAGATTCCTACCATGACAAAAGAAGATGCACTATGAATACAGATGCAATCGTGTAGAGTTCTTGACAACAAAGTTAACATTCCCCAAAGAAATATCTGAAATAATTGATGCTTTCTAGAATAATAGAATGGTTTGGGTTGGAAAGAACCCTAAGGAGCTAGTTCCAACCCCCACGCTATCAGCTGGGCTGCCACCCAACAGATCTGGCTGCCCAAGGCCTCATCCTGTTAAAAACTTCCAGGGATGGGGCATCCACAGCTTCTCTGAGCAGCCTGTGCCAATACCTCACCACCCACTGAGTAAGAAATTTCTTCCTTGTATCTAACCTAAATCTATCCTGTTTTAGTTTAAGACCATTTCCCTTTGCCCTGGCACTACACTCCTGAATAAAGTCTCTCCCCATCTTTCCTGTGAGCCTCTTTAAAAGACTAGTTAGCACTGTGTGCAAAGAATTTAAGTTACCAGTGAACTAATAAAGGTCACAACTATTTAAAGATAATGAAATAATATATCATACAGTTAACATTTATTAAATTAATGATAAAGCATAACTTCAGCCCTGTATGTTTCATTCTGTAAGTGACATTCACAAAAGCTCAGTACTGCCATACAAGCATAAAACAAAAGGCAGCCCAGCCATCCAGCCGAATGACTTTGAAGTTCTCCAGCCTTGACCTATAACTACCTGTACTCACAACTGTGCTGTTTTTACATCCTGCTTCATCAAAATGCTGCTCTTAGCAGATCTACAGCCCTCTTATCATTCTCTGCATTCCTCTGCTAGTGATCTCATTCCATTGGCAATAGGTACCTAGACTCATCCCATAAAGTGTCACCTGAATTGTGTCATGCACCAGAACAGAAACGATATGGTAACCTCACAGATTAAAAAAAAAAAGATGTCTAGTGCTCTTGAGAACATATTAGCTTTGTTACTTTCAAACTGCACACAAAAACAGAGTATCTGTTCACTAAGGTATTTCTACTTAACAGTATTATTTCAGTGTTTTATTCAGAGATGCCTACAGGTGTTTAAAGAAAGATTATTTCAGTTTGTCAGCAACAGTTGATATACGTTTCTTCTTCCTAAACAAACATAAAGACAGCATAGTTTTTCTGAGCCTGAATAAAAGCATCAACTGTAGTTGTTTATAAGACTCCAAAACAGAAGAATAGATTTGGGCCACAAGTATTTCAAATCCATAGCATTAAATATCTTACTGCACACCCATTTCAGACAGCTGAATAATTCTTTCAGGAATTTCCTACCACAGTATACAACAAAGTCTTTCAACCTCAAAAAAAGAGCAACAACGGATAACATAAACCCTAAGAGAAAAGCTTTGCTTTTCAGTGGCCCATGTTTATTGATGCTTGCTTTAGTTCAGTATGAGATAAGCATTTCATGCACCAGGAAATGCTGGATATGACTTCGGGGAGAAACAACGTATTTCCTGTCATTTTATCCATAAAGCATAGCACAAGCTCAGTCTTTTGGGAATGTCTATTAGGTTCTTGCTATGCACTTCTTCTGATGTATGATAATGTTTCAGTAAATGCAGGAGCATTTACTCAAGAACAAAGAAAAAAAAAAATTATAGCTTTGCCACGCCAGGTCATTTCATGAGAACAAGAATAGAAAAATATATATATATTTAGTGCCTTTTTTGAACATCTTGGATGCCTATTTCTCCTATAAGAATTACTGCTTTCTCTCATCCTGTTGCATCCTCACTCTTATTTTTCAACACAGATTTTATTAGCCTATTAGATCTGCTTTGAAAAGTTACATCAATCAGACAGAATTGCTCCTGAAAATTAATCAAGTTCTTTCTACTTGACTGCTTTTCTACAAATTTGGTGAGAATTAACTGAAGACTACAATCTGCTTGTTTACCTAGGGAAAAAAGCTTATAATACAGTAATCTGGTGAGTAAAATCTTCCATCCATTTCAAAAACAGCACACTCACAATGAAAAACGCAATTGCAGACACTCTCGACAAACGAAACTCTTTTCAGCAAGATAAATCACAACATTGGATCACGCAACACAAAAATACGACTTGACTCACAAAAGTTTGCCTATATGCACGGTAATTTTAACTCTAATTCTTCCTTGAAAAGACCCTCAGAAGCTGCATGTGGAGTCAAATGCTCAAAGTTTCTGCAGATGAGTTTTTACATCATAAGTTTGCAGTTGCACCTTTTGTTTCACGCCCTGGCGTACCGCACCGCACGCCGGAGCGGCTGGCTGCCTAACCTCAGCTCCAGCCCGGGCAGCATCACCACGCCGACTGCGCTCGAGTTAAACGGTGCAGGTCAACGAGGCAAAGTGGCATTAACTAGGTGCCTAAGCTGCGAACCGTGACAAATTCAATAGAGCCCTCCTAGCTACAAGTTTGCGCCTAGCACCTCCAAGACGCACAGCCCCGAAGAGACTCAACCTACCCCCCTCCCAGCCCCCCAGCCCCTCAGCTCTGCGATCGCGAGCAGTTCGGCCGCCCAGCGCCTCGCGAACTTACTGCAGTGCGATGCGGGAGAAGGAAGCGCACGTCCCTGGGCTGCGAGAGAGCCCGGCGCGCAGGGCAGTAGCAGGAACCGGCCATCCAGGCAGCCGACCGCCCTCCCGACCGCGCCACCGCCGCCGCCCGCTGGCTGCCGCAGCCCAGCGCACCCAGCCCCGCGGGGCCGCCGCCGCCGCCGCCCTACGCTCCGCTCCCCAGCGCCGGCCGCGGCGTACCGCGGATCCCGACAGCCGCCCTCCTACGGGGCCAGGCAGCTGCGGCTGGGCCGCGCGGTTTTAAGCGGCCGTGCGGCAGCGGATCTCCCACCCCTTTCTGGCAGGGCGGCGGGGGGGAGGGAACGGGCAGCACGCACACACACGCGCATATACACACTCCGCACGCAGCCCCTCTCGGCCCCGCGCAGCTGCGGTACCTGTTGTCCTGCGCTCGCATCCCCGGTGTGCCACTCACCCCGCCGCCGCGCCCGCCCCGCTGCCCCGTCCCACCCGCCTGCAAATCGGACCCCTGCAATGCAACGCACCCGCAATACCCGCTCAGCACTTACCCAAAGTTTCCCCGGTCTCCCCGCCGGCAGCGGCCCTCACGCTGGCGACGAGGCAGCGGGGCTGTGACAACGGCCGCGCAGCCGCGGGGGTACCGTGCGCGGCCCCTCCCGCGCACCTGCGCGCCACCCGCCCGCGCCTACCTGCGCGCTGCCGCGCAGCTTTAGCGGTGATTGCGCTGCCAGGCTCCGGCGGGTGGTTTGCTACCCCGCCGCCGCAGGCAAAAATCGCCCGGTGACCGGCTACCGGTCCGGAGCCCTTCAGCAGCTGCCAGTCGTGCCCGCGCCGCGAGCCTCCATTTGGGCGTCCCTGAGCAGAGACCGGCACGAAACTCGGGGCTGCGACAGCAGCCTCGTTCCCTCTGCTTCCTCCCCCCAAGAGGTGGGTCTCAAACACGTGTTTGGGAATCCCCCGTAGGCAGCAACAACAGAGGTCTGCCCGTGGTGGGAATTTGCAGATTTACTTGGAAAAGAAAAAAAAAGAAGAAGAAGAAGAAGAAGAAACAGTAGCAATGGCCTAAGAATTATTTTATGATAGGGCATCCCACTTATAGAATCACAGAATGACTTGGGTTGGAAGGAACCTTAAAGATCATGGAGCTCCGACACCCACCAGATCAGGCTGCCCTGAGCCCCATCCAACCTAGCCTTTAACATCTCCAGGGATGAGGCATCCACGGGCTCTCTGGACAGCTTGTGCCAGTGTGTCACTACCATCTGAGTAAATAATGTGCTCCTAATATCTAACTTAAATTGCTTCTCTTTTAGTTTAAAACCATTTCCCCTTGTTCTATCACTATTAGGCTGTGTAAAAAGTCTGTCTCCATTTTAGTTATAAGCTCCCCTCAAGTACTGGAAGACCCAGTGAGGTCTCCCCAGATCCCTCACTTCTCCAGGCTGAACAAGTCCAGCTTCTTTAGCCTTTCTTAGGAGAAGCACTCCAGCTCTTCTGGAGTCATCTTCATGGCCATCTTCTGCACTCCTTCCAGCAGCTCCCAGACATGAAACAATGGATCAGATGAAACTTGTGCTAACAGCCTCCCAGTATTTTTAATGGCAATTTGTCTTGACCAAAAGAAATCCCTCTGAAATACTAGTAAACGTCTAAGCAGAGCAAACAGTGCCAAATATCTGTCTTTATCAAGTTTAGGTGCCACACTAAGACTGGCTTCAGAACATCAGCTGGGATCCTGACAGTTTGCTTCTTTACAGTGAACCTTAATGTCTATCTAAATTCACTTTGTTGGTATATAGCACTATAAATACTTCATCCACTTCAGTCAATCTAAATGAAATGCAGCGTACTGCTAATAACTGCGTATAATAGTATCAAACACAGAAGTATGAAAATGAGAAACATTTTACCAGGATTTTTTTTTTTTTTTTGTAATTTTATAAATGCATCCATTTTACCTTTTTGAAATCTACTTACAGAGAGTTTCATTTTTATATAACATATTAGTGCTAGATTGTTTTTTGAATCTCAACGATGTAAAACATTGCCAGCCCAATTTAATTTGTAAAGATTTTTGGTTTCTTAGAGTGGGATTCCTTAATTCACATAACTTACTGTAAGCCTTAGACTACTGTTTGCTCTTTGTAACTTCGCTTCTATACAACATGGTAGAAGGCACTTGACCACTTTGGAATAGCTAGCTTCAAAAATTCATTATCACTCCAGCTTTCTGTTTAACAAAACAGTTTGAATATTTAGATAAGCTTCAAGGGAATGTACAAGGAAAATGTATTTTTATGTTATATAACACAATACATACATATTTATATCGTATACTAAGTTGTGTATGCACTCACAACTAAAGTTATGGTGTGATATAACTTTGATTATGCTCAATATTCCAACAGTCTAACTATTAAAAAAAAATAAAAATCCATTCTCCACTTTTCATGTACTTACACAGAAAATAAATAATAATAATAAAATAAAAATAATTAATGAATATAAAATAAAAATAATGATGAAAAATAATACTATTTTTAAAACATTGCTCCATAACTTTGGGAAAAGGAATTCAATGAAAGGCAGTATCACAAATTTTCAGTTTTGTATTTCATACTCAATAGTCAACCTTATAAATATCTTTCCAAACAGAAGCTTGTCAGTAGCATATGACAAGTACTTGGCTTTAGTCTTGTACATTGAATATATTGCTTTCCCTTTAAAACATGGTTTCAAGAGATTCTTTTTCTCCCAGGGAAAGAATTCAGTCACAGTATATTTGAAACTCGGGTTACTGAATATGGATCAAAACATTGAAGTACAATAACTAGTTACTTAATTGTGATAAATCACTGCAGTACAACACAAAAAAAAATTACAGACTCTGCTATAAAATGCTTGATTTAGTGGCTTGGGAGAGGGAGACTGGTTTTGAAAGACCATTTTGCCTTAAAAATTGCTTTCAAGCACTCTGAGTTACATAAGGTCATATGAGAATCAAAATGACTAGCTAAAATAATGTTTCACAGTTACAACCATTTCTTAATGCTGTATATAACTTTAATATAGCTCACTGAGCTTGGACCTTTGTCGTTCTCTTCTGCTGTGTGTTGGGACAGCATACAACTTCCTCAACTTACACTGTTATTGAAATGGAAAACGTCCACCAAGTTTTTGTATATCATCGAATGTCAATTCCAGCTTTAAAACACTACATCTTTGCTCAAGTTGAAAAATAAATCACCCCATGTAGGCCAAAGCCAACTCAACACAGCAAAGCTGTGGAAGATCAACAGAAAAGATGCCAAGCTAAGGAACACTAACATTAAGATTTTTTGTTTGCACTGCTACAGGAAGTCTGTTATCTGTGTGGCTAGCCTTAGAATTAGGCTTATAGTGTGTGCAGTTCTGACAGTAGGTCAATTCAATGGGGGATAGATAGATGGAGTAGCACATTGATGTCAGCAGCTTCGGTCTGGTTTCAGTTCTTGGAGCAGCATGTTGCCCATAGTCTCCTCTCCACATACCACAAAAATATTAAAATATACAGAAAGTTTTACCATCAACAGCTCATTCTCTCACAGCACAGAAAATAATTGATATCGAGGATCCACAGCCAGAATTGAAAAATAATAAACTTGTTATCGTCTGTCCTTCAGCCTATGTTTGAATATTTATTTAAATTATTTGTGTTATTAGGCATGACTTTAGATTGCTCATTTAATATGCCTTTATCATGATCTGAGAGCCCTAAGCCTTTTACCATTTGTGAAAGACATAAATGTAGTATAAATAAAAGCATCTTTCACTCAGTAATTCTGTGCTTTGTGTATTTTCATCAGGAAATGTCAGTACACACTAGGAATATACTGCTCCCTCCCTGAAATACCATTTCATTAGTGAGATTAATGAATAATACTGAAATTATTTACTCTTACATCTGTTGTTTTATCACTGATATTTGGGTACATTTGCTTAATTCACTAACTAGTACAGGTCAGTCAGTCTTGTTTCTGACTCTAGGAGAATCCTGGTGTGAATCCTGTTGGAACACATTTGGAGACACACGAAGGAGAAAATGGTGAACAGGAATGGCCAACATGAATTTACCAATACTGTCTACATGCAGTTTTCTCCTCTATTGCTCCTATTATAAAGATAGATCTCATTCTAAAGCCACCTTATCTCAATGGGAGATTTTCAGAGATACAAACGGGCAATGAGTTTACAAGCTCATTAATCTACATGTAAAGTTCAACTTATTTCAGCTGTATGCAGGAATGAGCCCTTAGTTATAGTAAGTGAGAAATGTTTATTCAGTGAAAAGACTATTTGGTTAAAGATTACTTAAGAAACAGATGTCTGCTAACTCATTCATTCTTAAACACTGTAATATAAAAGACTATAACTAAACTCTACACATTCTTTAATATTCGGCTTGGCTGGAGTTAAGGGGCAAGATGCATTTACTGTATATTTCTGATGTAGCATTATAGCAGTGACATGCAAAATTTTTTCACTATGCTTCATTGTATATATAGGCAGGATATCTAAAAGAAGCATCTGGCTAACTGTCATTAAAGAATGATACTTATGAAATATCTCAAAGATGGCTTTATATTTGAAAAGATTATTTTAAAACATTAATAATCATCGGTATGTTTACTGAGCTGTCTCAACTATGCAAAAAGACATAGCATGTCCTTAAAAATTTGCTGAATCTGAACACATATTTGGAAATCACTACTTAACATTCAAAAACCAAGGTAAGTTATTATGGGAACGCTTTGTTTTATTTTAAATGTAATTAATCAGCAATCTAAGTGTAATATATTCTCTGGAAAATAGTAATCATTTCACAGTCCTGATGGCCTGAATTATTAGATGTTATTAGTTCACCTTGCAAAAAGATTATTCCTGTTAATAAATACAAAACTAAAAACATGTTTTGTTGTCTTGATTTGTTGTCTTTTATCCTGTTTTCCACATTTTCTCTGAATTGTGCTTTGCATAAGTTTCTTACATTTAATGTCATACCTGCATATGCACTTCCTACAGATAGATCAAAGAAAGGCAGCAGTGGCTTGCCATGTCTCAATAAATAAATACATACATACACACACAGCTGATATTTTTAAGAATCATCTGCCTACACTATTTGTGATAAGAGTGAACAGAAGAGAACTGAGAACATCTGCTTTTCCTTAATTTATGTGTTGACACAGGTAGTATACAACAGAATATACCTGGTAAGAGGAAGTGTAGAATTTTAACAGATTGTTAAAAATATACAAAGCTTTTATGATAGAGAAGAAAAATGCAGAACTTACAAAGACAATAGCTGACTAAAGATCTAAGGAATCAATAATGAAGAGGGAAACAGAAGAAGGATTCATGGAATTACAGTGAAAATAGAAACAGTAGAAATGGTAAACTTCTGTGTTCTTGCAGCACAAGGTAAAGAACAGAGAGAACAAGAAACATAAAGTACTAACAGGATTTCAAAATTCCTTGTATTCCAAATATGCCGTGTATGAAGTAAGCACTGGAAAGAGAACAAAAATAGACATTCCAGCATTCAAATTTTCACTAACTGGTCTGCAGTTTTAGAACAAACTCTTTTGCAACTCTATATACCCAAGTTGTATTCACAGTAGCTTTA